TACATAGGCACACAAAGACAAAGATAAAGTATATTCTAGTGGAAGTAGGAGGGGAGGAGGAAAGTCTACAAGTCCTGGAGAGCTAAAATAGCTGCTTATTGGAACACTAATTTTATTTTTTTTTTAAAGATTTATTTATTTATTTATTTATACAAGAACCGGGGTACAGGCCAGATGCGCGGGAGGGTGAGAGGATTCACCAGAGACACAGTGGGGAACAGAACGGGCAGAGTTGTTACAGGGGCCGAAGTACACTGCTGAGGGGAGCAGCGGGCGATACAGGAGAGGTCTGCTTTGTCATGTGGGATTCTCCCCAGGCGGCTGGGATCGAACCCGCAATGCAGAGGCTGCGGACAGCTTCACAGTGTGGTGCTCAACTGCCTGCGCCACCAGGGAGGCCCTGGAACATTAGTTTTAATAGAGACAAGCAAAGCATCTGAGGGTGGAAGTAGGGAGATGCTATCGCAAGCTCTTCAGGATCTGGCTTTCCTCTCTTCTGTAGCCACGTCTCTCAGCTCCTTTGCAGCAACTACATTACCTTTCAGCAACTCAAACCAGCCCTTCCTTCCTCGCTAGGGTCTTGAAGACTTCCTTCCATCTGGAATACTCTGTCTTCCCCATTGCCATCCCAGCAATGCTGCCCTGGTTCCTGGGGGTTGTCGGGCTTCCACTATTGTTGTAACAGGGTGGTCCCCAGGAAAGGGGGAGGTTCCAGGTTTCCTGCCTGACCCAAATGGAGGGTGGAGCTGAGCAGGGAGAGAAGAAGCTGCAGAAGAGACTGAGGAAGGAAGGAAGCAGGATGGGGAGCCCGAAGGAGCCCTGGAGGAGGCGCATGGAGCCTAGAGACACGTGAAGAAACTGCACTTGTCTTTTGGTCGGGGACTGGGTGACACAGATGTGGGTGAGACCCATGGGGAGGTGACCATGGCAGCTTTTATCCTGATGTTGATTTTGCTCTTTTCCTTCCGGGCTTGTCTGGTTGTTTCTGACCCTTTTCTGTGGGTCCCCACTGGAAGCTGCTTTAGACTTGTGGCAGGCTTTGGGGCCTTGCTCTGGGCCAATCCCATTTGGATAGAGTTTTTTTTTTTTTTTTTTTTAAAGAGGCATGTATTATTTATTTATTTGTTTGTTTGTTTGTTTTGTTTGTTTATACATGCACTGGGTACAGTCAGAAGCGCGGGAGGGTGAGAGAATTCACCAGAGCCAGAGCGGGGAGCAGAGCAGGCAGAAGGACCGAAGTACACTGCTGAGGGGAGCAGCGGGCGGCAGGAGAGGTCTGTGCGCCATGTGGGACCCTCCTCAGGTGGCCGGGGAGCAGCCGGGGATCGAACCGGCACCGCAGAGGCTGCGGGCAGCTTCGCAACCCAGCGCTCAACCGCTGCGCCACCGGGGAGGCCCCCATTTGGATAGAGTTTTACCCAGGAGGGGACGGGTAACTTTGGGTGCTTGATTTATAAACTAGATTCTTTGCCTTTCCTGTATTGTTTCCTAGTTGTATTAAAGTTCCTTCCCATTAAAGTCTCATATGTTCTGTGTCGATGTGGCGGATGGCAGAACCCATTTAGAATAGGCATGTTTGCGGGGTTTGGGCTGCCCTTCTCCCTGCCCTGTAACATTATCACAGCATCCGATATTCTGGATGGCACTCCTAATAACTGCAATTAAGTGACTAGCACAGAATCAGATATTGGGTGTCTTTTGCCTTCCCCAGGATGTAAGTCCACAGAGTTCAGGATACATGTCTGCCTTGATGACCAATGCAGTGCCATGATCTGGACCAATGCTTTGCACATCTTGGTACTCAGTACATTTTTTCAAAAGTGAATGAGTAAGGAAGACATTTAGAATTCTTTCTCTATCACCTCTTTCCCCTCCCCTTTCTCTTGCAGCCCAGCTCTCCTTCCCTTCAATACCTTACTACTCTTCTAATGATATTTGTTTCTCCTTGTTCTGCATGACTTTTATAAGACAGTTCTGGCTCTCTCCTACTGGGGGACATAATGGAGGTGCTGTAAGCAATTCCCCCAAGACATCATTTGGGGGTTGTCTTTGAGTCGCCAAAGTGTGACCTTCCAACAGCAATCACTGGAGCTGGCCTGCAAGCAGCCCAAGCCCTGCCCCGCATAAGCTCCTGCATTTTAACAAGCCCCTCAGGCGATCTGCACAGTAAGCACTGCTGTGAAGGAGCTAGTCTCCTAGGTTCAAAGGTGGAAAAAAAAAGCAACTTTTAGTAATATGATGTAGAGCTGGGTCCTCTTCTGAGCAGACAATGAAACGGAATTAGGCATGCAAGAAGTTGCCTGACTTAGCAGGGAAGGACTTCAGACCTGACTCTGCCCCCCCCCCCCGCCCCCGCCCACCTGTTATGTCTGACCATTATCTGAGATGGTAATGGGGAAGAAGGGGGTAGGGGAAAAAGGGGTGGCTAGGGAGGGCCTCACTGTAAGGCGGATCTTACGAATGGGAGGTGCAGAGTAAATAGTGCCCAGTAGCCGAGTTCTGCCCGGTGGAAGCAGGACCCTGTAACCCCCCTGTGCTCAGTTATTGGCAGAGCTGCCCTAAGCCTGGGTCTCTGCATGAAGAGGAGGCAGAGCCAGAAGGTGCTAACAGTTGGAGTCGGCCAGCTACCTGCACACCTGAAACTGAGAAGCAAGATCTTTCTTTATAAAGAAAGATCCCCTCCCTTAAAGGTAAGGATCACTTTGTAAGAAAACTAGGAAAGCTGGCAAGTGTGTGGAAAGCAGATTTAAGACAATGCCATCTGACTGAAATACTTTTCTAGGACTGTTTATGTTGAATGCTGATTCTTCAGGGAACAGACTCCCAAGGGGCCCCTGGAAGACAGGTCTGCAGAAGTCTTTTCCTTAGAGAGCACAGGGAGAGGCTGTGTGAACCAACATGGCATCCCTGTATTTACAAGAATCGGGAGTCAGTAAACAAGAGAAAGTGGCCTCAAGTCTCTGAGCTCACCCTGTACCAGCTCAGCTCCTGGGCTCTCAGGGGCCAGCCTGATCCTGAGCGGCAGCCTCAGGAGGAGTTGCAAAGCCATGGGGTTGCAGGGCTGCCTCCCCACCTGCCCCTTCCTCGCTCAGGCACATCAATAAGACAGCCAGCCCCATGCACAGTCACACACAATGAAACATTTACACACACCAACTTCAAGTACACGCTCCTCATGTACAATACATTAAAAAAAAAAACAAAAATACCCGTGCACATATATTTCTCCAACCCTCGCCAAGCTTGTATGTCCACACCCTGCTGCTTAACCACACATGTGCATGGTATCGAGTTTCCAAAACATGGTCCCTGTGCAGATACTTTCACATACAAGAGGCTCTGACATCCATACACATCAACCCCAAACAACAACAGCAACAAAAATAGACAATCAAGCTGACAGTCCAAAACACAGCAGCTTTATGGTCACTCAAACCGACACACAGCTGCAGGCTGCGTCTGCAACTGTCAGACCTGCCTTGGAAGACATTGCCCTTGACCACTAGAACCTGCAGGGGTGGGGGCTGCGGTGGGGTGGGAGCCAGAAGGACTTGTCTGTCATCTCAGCCTGTCATCTCAGCTGTCTCCTACTTCCTGCAGTTGGGAGCCCCAGCTCTTCTGCCAGATGTCAGGGGAGGGAGCACTTGTATCTGGAAGGGGTTACAATTGGATTGAGCTAGGGCTGGAATTCTGCTGGCTTGGGTTGGAAGCCCAGCGTCACCATGTTGTTATACCTGTATGACCTTGGTCAAGTAGCCAATCACTTTCTTCATCTCTAAGTTGGGAATAATTTCAGTACTTACAAAAGGGGTTGCTCTAGTTAATATTTGTAAGGCACTGAGAATGAGCCTGGTATTATTGTTATTCTCCTCCTGGGAATGCTCCAGCCCTGGGGATCCCACAACCTCCCAGCCTCCCTCTCCTAAGGCGCCCCATACCCCGCCTCCTACACGGACCTGGCTGCCACACTTGCTGTCTCTGCAGGAACCACTCTTGCCAGAAGCTCTTTATTCCCCCTCCCCTTCCCTGTGAATGGTTTTGCAAATGCACTTGTGCAGAGCTGCGGGGCCCTGCTTCTCTGGGTTAGGAGACCTCAGAGCCTGGCTCAGCTGCCACCTGGGTCTGCCTTGCTGACCACACTATGCAGAGTGGAATTCAGGGTCTCCCCCCAAAGCAAGGGAAGGGGGAACGGATCACTGCAAAGCTTCTGCCAGTTACCTTTTGGTGGGTTGGTCAGAAGGCTGGAAGAGGCATATATTAAATTCAAGACTGGGTAGCTCCTGCACGCCCCCTCCTGTCTGTAAATCTTCATTCTCCCCCAAGACATTTCTCCACAGGGGAGATGCAAAAATGTGCTCTTACTCGAACTCAGCTCTAAGCGTCAGATCTAGGCAATTCGTCTCCTTGCGAGTTCCCTGGCTTTCAGCGGGTTCCCAGGTGAGCTGAAATCCAGAGCTATTCTCAACTGGTTGCCCCGGGAGTTTCAGCGCCCTCGGTACAACCTGTTCCTCCAATCTCCCCACTCTCTCCCTCTCCCCCCCTCCTCGCTCCCTCCGCCCGGCTGCGCCCTTCTTAGCCCCCCTCCCTCCCCTAGCCCAGGGCCCCAGCTGCGCCCTCCGGGGAGACACCCGCTGCCACCACCCCGCAGGAGAGGCGGGGGAGGAGGGGCGGGGAGGGGAAGGGAAGAGGCGGGAGCCGGCGGGTGGAGGCCCCGCTGCCGCGCAGCAGCCAGAGAGGGGCGGCTGAAGGTTGCATCCGCTGGAAGGAGGCTTTTGGCTGCTTGGTAACGGGCTGCCAGAAGAGAGAGCAAGGCAGAGAGCAGGGCAGCGGCTTCTTGACGTCAGGACCAAGCCAGGGGATCGCGCCAGCAACCTCAGCCCTCCCCATGGTGGGGCCGGCCGGCCGACGGAGACGCGTCCGAGGCTAGGCGCCCAGCCGGGCGCGCGTGGGGGGCGCCGGAGCTGTTCCCAGGGGCGCACTATGCCCCCTGCCCCCAGGCCATGGAGCTCTCCCTGGTGCCCCTGGAGAACGGCGTTCCCATGACGGTCAGAGGAGGAGGTGAGGCCCCGGCAGGAGGCTGTGGCCGGGCGGCAGGGGGACAGCTCCAATGCCCCCCGACGGCCGGGCTCAAGGATGCGCCCAGGCTGCCGGAGCCGAGGGCGCGCGGCCCGCAGAGGGGCGAGGATCCCAGAGCGCGCCCTTTGCCACCGCCACCCCACGCGCTGCGGCAGCCTGGACGGCTGCGCCTGGAGGACCAGGAGGGAGAAGGCGACCCTGCGCTGGGCATGGTGGAGGACCGCGCGCTGGGCACCGGGTCCCTGCACCACCAGCGCGTCCTCATCAACATCTCCGGGCTGCGCTTCGAGACGCAGCTGGGCACCCTGGCGCAGTTCCCCAACACGCTCCTGGGGGACCCCGCCAAGCGCCTGCGCTACTTCGACCCCCTGCGCAACGAGTACTTCTTCGACCGCAACCGGCCCAGCTTCGACGGCATCCTGTACTACTACCAGTCGGGGGGGCGGCTGCGGAGGCCGGTCAACGTGTCCCTGGACGTCTTTGCGGATGAGATCCGCTTCTACCAGCTGGGGGAGGAGGCCCTGCAGCGCTTCAGGGAGGACGAGGGCTTCATTAAGGAAGAGGAGAAACCCCTGCCGCGCAACGAGTTCCAGCGCCAGGTCTGGCTGATCTTTGAATACCCGGAAAGCTCCGGGTCCGCGCGGGCCATCGCCATCGTCTCCGTGCTGGTCATCCTCATCTCCATCATCACCTTCTGCTTGGAGACCCTGCCCGAGTTCAGGGACGAACGTGAGCTGCTCCGCCATCCCCCGGTGCCGCAGCAGCCTCCGGGGCCCGGCTGGGGGGCCAACACCAGCGGGGCGATGGCGCCTCCTTCTGGCCCCACGGTTGCGCCTCTGCCCAGGACCCTGGCCGATCCCTTCTTTATTGTGGAGACCACGTGCGTCATTTGGTTCACCTTTGAGCTGCTTGTGCGCTTCTTTGCCTGCCCCAGCAAGGCAGAGTTCTCGAGAAACATCATGAATGTCATCGACGTGGTGGCTATTTTCCCCTACTTCATCACCCTGGGCACCGAGCTGGCGGACCAGCAGCCTGGGGGTGCAGGGGGCGGCCAGAACGGGCAGCAGGCCATGTCGCTGGCCATCCTCAGGGTGATCCGTCTGGTGCGCGTGTTCCGCATCTTCAAGCTCTCCCGCCACTCCAAGGGGCTGCAGATCCTGGGCAAGACCTTGCAGGCTTCCATGCGCGAGCTGGGCCTGCTCATCTTCTTCCTCTTCATCGGGGTCATCCTCTTCTCCAGCGCCGTCTACTTTGCAGAGGCCGACAACAGGGACACCCACTTCTCCAGCATCCCCGATGCCTTCTGGTGGGCGGTGGTCACCATGACCACTGTAGGCTACGGTGACATGAGGCCCATCACCGTGGGGGGCAAGATCGTGGGCTCGCTGTGCGCCATCGCGGGGGTCCTCACCATCGCCCTGCCGGTGCCCGTCATCGTGTCAAACTTCAACTACTTCTACCACCGGGAGACAGACCACGAGGAGCAGGCGGCCCTCAAGGAGGAGCAGGCGGGTCAGAACCAGGGGACAGGGGCGGACAGCGGAGGCCAGCGGAAGACCAGCTGGAGCAAGGGATCCCTTGGCAAGGCTGGGGGGTCCCTGGAGAATGCAGAGGGAGCCTCAAGGGGCAGTCGCCCCCTGGAGAAGTGTAACCTCAAGGCCAAGAGCAATGTGGACTTTGGGAGGTCCCTGTATGCCCTCTGCCTGGACACCAGCCGCGAAACGGATTTGTAAGGAGGGATCCAGACAGACCAGAGGCAGTAGGTGGGGACAGCAAAGGACTCCTGAACCTGGACATCTGCTTTATGCCGTCGAGTATTCAAGCCCACCCTGAAACCTAGGGCTGCCCCTCTTCTTTCTCTGCTTCCCTCTCTCCCTCCCTCCCTTGCACCCCCATTTTCCTCTTCTTTCCATTACACCAAGGGTCGCCTATTTTTAAAAAGTACCACATTCCATGACGCAGGAGGAGCTGTTGAAATGGTGAGCGCTGTGAGATGGATGTATTTGTAGCCAGTTTCCTATACCCAGCAGAGGGATAACCCAAACAAAAATGACTTTAAATAGCCCAGGTCCCCAGAGATTTTTGTAACCCACCCCCCCAATCCGTGTGTTCCAAATTTGCTTTACATACGATTGTGTTTGTGTATAGGAGAAAATATTATTTTTATGGCTGGTGAGTGGATTTTGTACTGTAGTTCAGATGGAGATATTTTGGATATACTCAAGACATATGTGGTATTTATAGAAGAGAGTTGTTGTGATGTTTTTCTGTGATACTTATATTAGAACCAGAGACCCTGGTAGGACTGTTCTGGTTCCTGTGTCTGCAAGCCTCTCTCTTCTGGGATATGCTATCAGTGCTTTGCATCTCGGGCAAGGAATCTTCTAGAAGCAAGCAAGCCTGACTATTTTTGTGCGCCTTAAACAATTCTTGTAACTTTCTTCAAAACGCATTTTGATGATGTTGAAGGAAGGGCTTCTAATCATTCATTCTCTTTGTTTTTAATCCCAGGAAATAAAATGTTATTTGGTGGAGGCAAGTGTTAGTTTGTCTGCAGCTGGAGTAATTTTTGAAAATTTAAAAAAATAGTCTCTCACTTGACTGATGCTGGTTTTGAAGTCAGTACGAACATCACCTTGACTAGGATAGAAAGGTTGGATAGCTAATGATTTGATCCACACCTTTTTGAGGGGTCCTCTCTGGATGACAGAGGGGTGAATTGTGTTGTGTGAGGTTGTACAGGGCCGGACACCCCTCGACATGCTGTCTGATGGTGCAGTGTGGGATCCAACACCAACAGTCCATATGCGGGGTGTGTGGGGTACAAGGCGAAGGATGCTCCTGGACGGGATCACTGAAGTATCCTTGGTCTGCAGTCTCTAATCCCTGCTTAATCTGGTTCTCTCCATGACTCTGAGAAACAAATCTGATTCTCATAGACAGGAAACCTGATGACAAAAGTAACCCTTGGTGGGAAGTCCTGGATCTGGGGAGGGAACCCCCTCCTTGTAGCCCCTCACTCCACTCCCCATGGGGGGCCATGAAATACCCTGGCAGGGAGAGGCCACATGAGAGGATTTGCTTGTTCACATTACAAGTTTCTGCAAGGGATCCCGTGGCAAGGCTGTGGTGGGGGGGTGGCCTTGCTCTGAGTAATCCTGATATTGGGAATGAACCCCTGTATTCCCTTTTCCCTGAGTGGTTGTGGCAAAGCATCACAGTGGCAAAGGTGTCACGCCAACTGCAGTTTCTCTCTGGGTTTAATAGTTTTCCACATGGGCTCTGGACACCTGCTGTAGCTTCTTCTGCTGAATAATCCAAAGACAACCACATCCAGCCCACAGTGGGTGTGGGCTGGTGACCCACGGTCCTCTCCACCCCCCACCAAAACACCTGTGGCTGGCTCCGAGGGTGCACTAGGTCTTTGTGAGGGTGAGGGAGGATTTACAAAATTGCTGTCTGGGAATCGTGGATTTAAATAAGACACTGACACAATAGTAGAATCCAGCGTCTGGGCCAGCTCTTTCCAGTCAGCAGATCCGAGGAGGAAACAGAAGGATGGTGCCGGCAGCCCTGTTGTTTCTCATCACATGCCAGAGCAAAGAAGAGCAGAGCCACTTTATTTATTTATAATTTACGATCTGCCACAAAGCAGGGCATCTTGCCAAAGCTCACTCCACACAGCCTCACCTCCAAGCCCTCTATGGCATTGACACTAATACGTGGTTAGCACATGCCTAGTGGTTGGGAATGGGTGGCCCCTAGAGCTTCCCCTTCCTTGGAGACAAAGGAGAAGTTGCCACCTTCATCCCTGAAGGTCACTCCTTTAGACTTCAGCAGCAGAGAGAGGGCAGCACTCAGGTCTGATTTGTATCCAGGTACCTGACAGAGGGTGGGTCCAAATAGAACAGACAGCATCTTGAAGATGTCCAGTAGGTGGGTACAGATCCTCTTGGAGGAAGAAGAGAGTGAAGTTCCTGGTTTTGGTGGGAGAAGAGGCTACCACAGAGCAGGCTTGCAAAGGGGAACAAGGTGGTTTCAGAGAGACTGGACCCCGGGAATAGGGTCCCCTGCTGCAGCCTCCCCTCCTGGAGCTCATGGGAAGGGCACCCATGGGGCGCTGCAGAATTTGCATCTCTCCCAGTGTTGTTGGGACTCTGGAAATAGGCTCCACTCAGCCTTTCCACATGCTTTGGAGGAAGAGAATCTGAATGTTAAGTTTTTTCTTCAGGTTTCCCCAGGCAAGGACCCCCTTCCTGTCCTCTCTCACCTCCCTTCTCCCTGTCACTGACTTCCCACAGCCTTTCCCTTCCTGGGGAGATTAGATCCAGTGGCCTCAGCAAAGCTTTTCACCCAAATGTTGCTTCTGGGCTCCCCAGGAGAGCGTCATCCCTGGGTTCCCAATCTGCCAGCTTGGGCAGCGACAGGACTGGCAAGGGCTCTCCTGCACCTGTGCAAAGATGGTGTCCCCACTGCAAAGCACCTGCACCCTCTTTTTCGTGACTTGCCTTTTTCCTTCTAGCTCCTAGGCTCGTTGCATCCTAAGCAATGCCAGGTTTAGGGGGAAGCTGTGTTTGCGTGCTTCAAAAGCCCCAGCTCCTGCCCAGGACTCCCCTGGAGGGAGAGGGCACTGCCACAGAGCACCAGCCCTGGAGGAATTATTCCAGGGGGTCCGGCTTGAGTTATTCTAGTGTGAATGATGTGAGCATCTCCAGGCTGGGGCAGGATGACGGAAAGGGCTTCTCTGGGTGCGGGGGCCCCTCACCCCAAGCCCCTCCTGCACAGGCAGGCTGTGACCCTGGCTCACAGTCAAGGCTCTTCTCTGGATTGGGACAGAGCAGCACATTTCTATTCAACAGCTGCTCTGGGCCCAGCCCTCCCTGGGGTGCTTGGGGATACTGACTTGCGCCAGGCTGTGGTCCCTGCCTGCAGAGAGCTTGCAGTCCACAGGGGAGCAATCGGTGTCAATCAAGCATAACATGCAAATCCATTTGTGCTCAAGCACCTTGGACAAGTTCCAGAATGAGGGGTTGTGGAGTGGGGGTGGGAAGTGAGAGGAAGGGGGAGAGCTGAGAAGTTTCTGGAGAAGCGAGGAGGACATTCAGGGTGAGGGACGTGGGAACAGCGGGCAGGAGATTAGCTGCCCCATCTCCTGACCATCACTGGGAGGTGGAGATGAGCACTAAGGGGGTGCTGCTTCCCTGGACCCACCACAGTGGAAGTTCTGCTTCCACTAATGATGGGGGTTCAGCGATTTGTTTATGGCAGGGGGCTGGCAAAAGTTCTGAAAAGGGCCAGAGAGTAAATGTTTTAGGCCTTGTAGATTAAAAAGAAAAATTGAAGTTATTATTGTAGGTATGTGCGTAGCCATTTAAAATAATTATTTAAAAATATGGGAACCAGCCTACGCTTGAGAGCCCCAGGCCCCTGCCGTGTCTCGCTGTCATAGAGGGTGGGAGTCAGCTTCACCTGTGGGTCCGTGATGTGGGTTCCCCATTTGATTTTATGCCATTGCACTTGACATTTCTTGTAAATGCCAACCTGGCTTGGGGAGGGGATCTCTTAGCCCAGGGAAGGCCTTTTAGGGAAACATAGCTTCCTTCTACCTCCTTGAGAAAAATGAGATTTTTCTAGGTGACTGTGGGACAGGCTGCTCTATTTCTAGTGACAAGGAAGAAAATGCCAAACTGGAATTTCTGCCCAGGACTCTGAACTGTGTGCAGAGAAAGTCTGGAAGTTCAGAATGGAAACTCCACTTACGCCTGGAGGGTGGGACCAGCCTATGCCTTTGGGGTTCGCTAAGCACTGAAGGGCTGCAGGGGAGGTCAGTGGGGTGCAGAAGGCCAGAAGGGCTGCAGAGGAGGTCAGTGGGGTGCAGAAGGTCAGAAGGGCTGCAGAGGAGGTCAGGCTGCCTCACTGGTGGACATGGGATCTTTTCTGGCTCCCAGCAGAAGTCTCTTCTGCCTCCTTTGGGAGTCTCACATCTGCTGTCATGAGTCCTGGGAAGTGTGGCAGGACAGATCGGAGCCTGACCCCACCCCAGGAAGTTCAGTGACTCACAGGGGGCAGGTTATACCCACCTGCATGTGAGGAGACACGTGCAAGCAGCAAACACACAAAACCAAAAATCAAACCAGAAACCAGCTCTAGAATTGTCAGTGAGAGATAGAATTGTACTTTAAGGTCTTGAGAGGAAGGTAAGCCTGACAGGTAACTGAGGCAGGATTCATGAGAGAAGGGGGCTTCAGAAGTGGCGTGGAAGAGGGAGAACAGAAATGTAGTGCTTAATAACATGTCTTGCCTCCTGCCCCCAGACCCTCCTCTCAATTTCCAGAGCCTCTTTCTCTCTCTCTCTCTCTCTGCCCCTTGAATTGCTAATGGTGTCTTATCTCCAAGCCTTGGGATGGCTGGTCACAGCCTGTGAGCACCATCTCTCGCAGCTGCTTTGACCCCGACCTAGCCCGGATGTGCTCTGCTATATTGAGACATCAGTAGTCACAAGGGGAACTTCCAGTTTCACATTAAAAAAATGAATTTACTTTTTTTTAAGATCTTGATTTTGTGGTGATTGGCCTCTGGAAACACCTGAAGGCTATTTTTAGGAGGTGTGGCTTTTTTTTGTTTTGTTTTATTTTTGGGTAATCCTATAAATTGTGTTCCAGCACAGGACCTGCCCTTTGGGGACTCCTGCGTGCTTATAATGTAACTCTATCACAGGGTCCTGTTTATTTGGATTTCAAAATGAATAGAATAATGAAGCTGGCGATTCATACAGCAGTTTTTATTTTATTTTATTTATTTATACAAGCACTGGGTACAGTCAGAGGCGCGGGAGGGTGAGAGAATTCACCAGAGCCAGAGCAGGGGAACAGAACAGGCAGACTGATGAAATACACTGCTGAGGGGAGCAGCGGGTGTGGCAGGAGAGGTCTGCGCGCCATATGGGACCCTTGCCGGTGGCTGGGATCGAACTGGCACTGCAGTTGCTGCGGGCAGCTTCGCAGCCCAGCGCTCAACCGCTGCGCCACCAGGGGAGGCCCTCATGCAGCAGTTTTGCTCAAAGGGTGCAAACAGCTAGCCAGCGGAGAGGGCTAAGACCTGACTAGGTACCTCTCAAGTAAACCCTGCTGATTTATAGGACTGTACTGAAGATGTCTGTGTGTGTTTACTTGTTTGCCTCTCCAGCTGCTTAAACTTCCCATTACTGCCACTGTTTGCATTTTTTAAAGAATGTCACCTGGAAAATGGAGGCAATGGTTTCCAGTTGTGCTTCAGTGGCCTCGGCATCCAATTGCAAGGGAATATTTCTCATGGAATCTCCAGGCTGGGCACTGAATGGCTGTTTGTGCTCCATTCTTCTGTTGTGCTTTCTCTGCAGTGTGCATGTTGTTATTTTATCATTGATATTTATTCTTCTTTGGTTGCAGTGAAGTCATCTATAAATCCCACAGCAGTTGGAAATCAGTTTGGGGAGGGCAAAGGAATCTCTGGGAGGTCAAAAGAAGCTCCTCATTGTCTTTCTGCCTTCCTTGCACTGTCTGCCTCCTGTCCACCCTA